CACCAGACAGAGAAAATCGATGCAGCAGTGTGACCTGTGGAGATTTGCAGTTGTACTTGTCCTCGAACCCGGCGGCACAGTTGATACAGCCGCTGACTGTGGACAGAGGTGACTGACCACAGGAGCTTTGAAATCGCGCCAGCAGCATTGCAATCTCGTCCTCATATACCGGACATGACAACACATGACACAACGCAAAGACAATACTAGTAGCCAATTACAACAAGCAAATTTCCAAGCTTCGGATGGCTCGCAACCCTGCACAAGCGAGACTGGACTCTAGATCGAGAACCTGACTCAGATGAAAGATCTCATCAAAGCAGATAAGCAACCAGTGCAGTTGCATCTGCGACGCTGTGATGAAGCATCAGGAAGTATAGTCTGCTCCGTGTCTGTGCCAAACCAAAATCTCGGCTCCTGAAGAAACTCTGTGTGTCTGTCACTTCTCTCTCTCTCTCTCTCGATCTCTCCCCTGTGACATGGACATGGATGAAACTATCTCTCGCTCTTGGGCATCCGTGGTGACTGACGTCCTCATTGAGAAGACACGTACATGATATCCATCGATGAGAGACAGGCCGATGGCCTCATCCGGTTCATCTCGACGCCCGCGTAGATGCCCCCGCAGAATGAAGTCAAGCGGCGTCTGTGCAAAAGGCGCCAAAAGAATTGATTCAGGTTCTGACTGTTTCAGAGAAAAGGCAGATACTCAGATAATGCAAAAGCACATGTAAGCAGACTCTGAGCTAAACCATTTTCTGCCCATCTTCTCACGACCTTCGGATGCTGCAAAGCTCCCCGTGCAAACAACTACGGTTGCCAAGGCATGACTGTAACCCTAAAGGACCACTGTAAAATTTAACCAGACTTAAACCCGAAGCCAACATCCTAAACCTTTAAACGCCCCATAGCCCCAGCACCTTGAACCCCAGTTATAAATAACAATAGTATTATTAACAACAACAATTATTATTATTCTTATTCTTATTCTTATTCTTATTATTAAACTAATTAATTTAATTAATTAATTAATTAATTAATTAATAATAGTGATTTTATGAATCATGCGTCACCCGGGCCGCCTAAATGTCTAACTACTTCTAACACGAAAACCGGTACTCTGGAAACCGAAGTGCTAAGTAGTCTGCCATCTGTGCCTCCCGTTGCAACCGTGTTTGACCTGTCTGTCTAGTTTCCATGCAATGACAGGCCGAAAGGTGTGCAATGTCTCTAGGCGCCGCAAGCAGCGCGCAGGACACAGGTGTTCCTCGAATTCACTCGGCTCCACATTACCGACTACAGAAGATCTACCCCTCGAGAAATCCCAAAGCTTGAGTACAAGCAGGCTTCAGCAGCTCAGATTCCTGAACCTTCGGGTTCATCAATAGCCGATGCAAGGAATCAATGCACGGCTGAACCAGATCCTTCTGAATCTGGGCCACACATGCCACGTGAATCGATCGAGGAGGTTTGTTCAAGCGGTATGCGAAGCTGAATTTCAATTCCCCTTTCTCAATCTTGCCACCGCAATTCATGCACATTAGTCCCTTCCGTGGGCTGGGCCCAATATCCAGCACTCCCAGATTGCGTTGAAAGAAGACACCATTCTGGCCGGCAGCGCCAGCAGCGGAAGCTGCTGCGGAAACGCCGCCAGCACTGGAAGGCTTGCTATCCTGCTCGACAGCCTCGCGCGATTCAGGTTTGTCACCAGCAGATGATGAGGAGGCAGGGGCTGCTTCTGCATCCTTGAATGCTGCAGCCTCCGCTTTCAACGCTTGAGAAAACTCCACATCCGCTCCCGGGGGCAAGTCTGACTCGAACTCGTCATACCTGCGAACATCTGCGAACCGAGCACGCGCCAGACACCAGACAGCACTAGACAATCAATCAGATCCTGTAGACTGTAGACTGTAGACACAACAGGACTGAAGAAAGCCCGCCTGGGCACGGGACCTGCGGAACTTGAGCTGGCGGGCTGCTCTGCTACTCTGTGGCCAGAAGCTTCGGGCCCAGCCTTCTTCTGCCATTTGTAACTGCGGGACGATAGGCCAAACGGCAAACTTGGCATGGTCTTGGGTTTTGGAACCGCCTCGCGCTTGCAACGAGAACTCAAGTCGATGTTGTGCGTCTCCTCGCCAGCCAGCAACACCAGATCGCCCTCTTCGTGCGAACATGAAAAAGACTTGTAGATGGCGGCCTGACAAGGCAAGGCCAAGATGCAATCACTGATATGATACGGTTCGATATGACTCGATATACAATTTGCGCCCGAGACTAACCCCAGAGCCTAGAATATGACTCCGTGTGACACATGCCTGCGGACGCAGTTGGGATGCTGTAGCATCGTCTGGGAAAATGGACAGGTAGGAGCAGACACAGGAAAGGAACATCTGATGCGATGTCAACAGTACTGGAACACCGTCTTTCATCGACATAGCCAACCGCCCAGGAGCTCGCGGCCAAAGCCGCACAAGCACGTGTAGGAGCGGTCGTCTGCAAACACATCCCTGGAAAAACCACTGCGTTTGCCCTGTGTGCTCCTCCTGTAGATTGACAATCAGCAGACTCGTCGCAACGCGCTTGCTCTGCAGCCCGGAATCGAACTGATGCACGAGCTGCGCCACCCGGCCAAAGCAGGGATGCTTTTCGCAGATCCCACCGTGAGCCCACAGATAGCTGCGGCAGAACGTCGGCAGTTTGACTGGGTTCCGCTGCATCTCTGCGTCGTACCCAAAAGTCTCTCGGAAGGATTCTGCCAACCCTGCTACGTCGAGCTCCTCGCTCACCAGCTCCGGACGCAGCGGCGAGTGATGATTTTGCAGCCCGAGCCCACGTGTCCAAACATCCTGTTCTGCAAGCTCCCGCACCGTGCTTCCCAAACGCCGTGCATACAGTCGCTTCAGCTGGCTAGGAGACAAGTTTGACGTCTCTACCGCACGCCGGTCCGAGAAAGAAGCTGCTGCCACCGAACGTCGTCTTTCCTCGACTTCGTCTGCCTTCTTCTGCCACCGGACTTTCTCATGCGCCGGCAAAGCCCTCCAGCGCTCGGCGATTGAAGCCCGCGTGTTGCGATTGCTGTCAGAGGCGACACAACCAGCACCAGCCATCGTAGATCTGAGATGACAAAACGAAACGATCTCTCAAACTCATACAAATCAGACATGAAACCTATCAGGTCTTTTGTTGCCAGCGCCACCATGTGAACCGAGCGACTGATGATGACTCTGAAAAGCATTGAATGCACTGACCCGTCTCATCTTCTTTGGCATCTTACGACTGGCACCATGGCACCTCGAGCTCACACACACTCTTACTCTTACACTTACACAGACTCAAAATGTGTAGTGTGTACTGTTTGGGCCCACCGTGTCCTGGAGGCTGACCGCTTGCGTTTCAAAGACAGCTCAGGCCCCGTGGAGGCTTGAGCACTAGCTCTGGCAACTCGTAGAAACCGCGCGCGCTCTTTGCCCAGACAGTGGCTTTGGGAGGCTTGTTGGACAGCTTGGTGCTCGAGAGTGACGCTCATGATATAGTGATCAAGCTGGCAAGTGGAGGGCCTCTTGGTGTTGCTCCGCACGACGGCCTGGTCAACAAGAGCATTGCTGTGAAGTTTTTCCACTTCCACCGAAGAAGCCGGCAGCTCGATGAGCACATCTCGGACCAACTGCTGGAGTCTGACGAAGCGACGCTTGATGCAGTCCTCGCTGTTGTCTTGGAAAACGAAGCGGAAGAACACCTGGGGACAATTTGCAGCGCGGCAACACAACACAGGCAACAACATGCGGACACATACTGGCCATGCATGACTGCACGATTTTTGTCCAGTACATGTGGGCGGTACTTTTGGATCGGTCGCACTCGCCACCACAACTGCATGTACACCTCCAAAAGCTGACTGGCATTACTTTTTGCGCTTGCGGCTCTGGTTTTCACTACTCTGGATATTTAACATCTCACATTTCTCAACAGCAGCCGCAAGCACATCAGAATCGGATTCAGCCGACATCTAGCGGAAACATGCCCATCGAATCACATCATAACTCCTAACACAGATCTGCTTTCCCGCATATCATCAGATCTGCTCACTCCCATGCTGCGCAGGTCACCCGACACAACTGGCAACTATAGCGCAGTCTCCTCAGAACGACCTGTACGTGCCAGCGCCTGTGGCACAGTCACCGTGCAGACAGAAGTAGAGGCAGTAGACGTGGAGTGGACCACGGCAGTGCTAGGCAAAGTTGCCGGAGCCGTCGAAAGCGTCACAGCTGCTTGAACGTGCAAGTTGATGTTGACAGTGCCGCTGGCGCACGCAGCAGTGGTTGTTGTAGGTGGCGATGGCGCCGGATCAGCGGGCGCACCGGCAACAAACCCCATCACAGGCACGGTAGGCATACCTGCTGAGACTGGAAGGGCACCGTGTCCGCCACGTCGTGCAGACGCCACTGCATCCCAATGCGAAGATGACTCATCAGAGTCGGAACTGGATCCTGACAGCGTGCCGCTGCCCCTGCCCTGCAGCGGCTGCGGGCCTCCAGCTGCATCTGCATCGCCCTGCTCGTCGCTATTGGCTGGCAGCGTGTCTGTACCCGCAGTGGGATCTACGGGCAGAGTCGTAGACACTGCGGTCGGTGCAGCAGACAAGGCAAGAGGATTTCGTGCAAGTAGCGAAGCTGTAGCACTGCGATCTGTGGAAACTATCACGACATCAGAATCAGAATCATCAGATTCTGTAGAAGCATCGAGAACTAGAGGGCGCGGACGCTTCTCGGAAGGCATTGCACTGACGCGAGAAGGTCCGAAACAAGTTCACAGCAAGTCTCGGGCCTGCACAAAAGGATTGCGGACTGCACTAAGCGGCACTACGAACTGTGAACCTGTCTAACTTGACTGTGCAGTGTCGCCATTGGCACCTACCAACACGCAACATAACCACCTGTCATATCAGTCGAGCCACTAGGAAGAACAGGCGGTCTTGGCATGCTAGGCAATCGCCAGCAGAGGCACGAAGACGCCGCAGACAATCAATGCCATCGTCCGTGCCCATTGTTGCAACTCTCAAGCACTGCCATGGCAGCCCAGCATAAGTCAAGTGAAGCCGGCGCCAGGAATCACACATCCCCATCAAAAGAACCGGCGCGCAGTCGTGATAACACAGCTGCAGCTCTCCATGCCACACCTCTCCATCCGGATCAGCTCTCAAGAATTGCGCGAAATCTGCACAAACTTTCAAACCACGATCGCCTGTCAGAATGGAGAGATTGAGTCGCACAAGGCTTTCTGGATCCCGGTCACACTGTGACGTGTCTGGAAGAATGCCCATGCGAAGCAAGCGCATGCGCAAACGAAGCGTCTCTGCCAATGAGACCTCGTCCATGTACGTTCTCAGCGGCTTGACGAGGAGTACGGCTTTCGCGAAGCTGGCCTGTGAGCATTGACTATGGCAGATAAAAAAAAGGTACAATTACACTACTATGAATGTATGGGTATGATTCATCGTTTAAGGTAAAAGGCCCAAAGGCTGTCAAGTTTCGACACCGTCCGGGCCCGATAGCAGCTGCAGCACTTTCGTGGCTCTGACCTTCTGCTTCTCAGCCGGTGATAAATCGGCATTATCTTCGTCGTAATTCAAGAGTTCCTGCCTGGGCTCGGAATATGGGTCGGATTGCTCACCAAGCGACAGTCGCCACGTGTGCTCCAAGAGCCCGTGAACCAACATCGCTCTCAAACAGAACTCTGCAGCCGGCTGTACATGTTTCCATCTATACAGCAGTGGCACTTCGAAGCCTTGCAAGATCAACAATTCGAGGCAACGTTTGACCTTGAAACGAGTTTCCTTCAAAGAAGTGCAGCAACCCGCTTCGCACCAGTGCGTGAGGCGACCTTTCATCTTTGATAGAGGCAAACTCCAATCTTCATTCAGTGTGCTCAACACCAAAGCGACGTCATCTTCCGTCATGTAGCTTCGACAAGAGGCCAACTTGCGAGCGTTGCGAGCTATGCAAGCCGTGACGCGTTGTGGCAGCGTGGCCACTGGGTAAACTTCCACGGTTGAAGCCAAATTCCCGGCGATGGCCGCCATACGTCTGCTGTGTAAAGCACTCTTCATCGAATGCGCCATACGGACCATGCCTGTAAGGGCCACATGCGGCGCTAGACGACTAAGTCTAAATTCCAGGCTATGACTCAGCATACAAGCAACCCTCACCCCATCGCCCACCCCATCTACAATGCCTGTAGCGACATTGGGTACGGACAACACGATCGGCTTCGAAGACAAATTTCCCTGGTGGTGTGTACAGAATGTGTACACGTAGCCACGGTACGCGGAGGCATCGGACATCTGGGTCAAGGCCTTCTGCTGCTCAAGCGCGTTGACAGCAACATTCGCTGGCAGGGAGTCCGTGCCTCAACCAGCAAGGCTTCGCAAGGCATTTCATCAAAAAACTGGGTTGGAACTTATGGCAATCAGTCTTTAAGTATGAGGGCCCCACACGCGAAGATAACCTGCAGAGGGATGGTTGCCAATATGGCGCCCAATTCGTCGCCCCCGGCAAACGCTGCAGAACCTTCGACTCCGCAAAGAGCGAAACGATGCAGTCGGTTGTACAAAGTCGCAGCATTGGCCTGCACACCAGCGGTAGGGTGGCTAAATAACTTGCAACATGATGCAACACACAAACCCAGCACCTTGGGGAGGACTTGGCCCGGGCAGTGAAGCTGAACTGTGCGCAAGCAATTGAAATCATCTTCGCCTTCCCTACGCACCGACAGACGCTGCATTAATGCCATCAACTGGTGGCACTTCCTGTAACCCTGCTTGCCCACACGTCGCCCTTTTTCTTCTTCAGGTTCCTCGTCCTTGCCATCTTCAGTCTGCTGGGTCAACCAAAGATTGGTGTCATCGGCAACACGGCTATATATCATATGCTGGATGGGCGCACAACGCAAGAATGCCAGCAAACCAGGTTTCTGCGCATGAAAGTGGCTGAGACCAGCCAACTGCCGAAGTCGGGCAGCACTCTGGTGTTGCTGGGTTTGTTGTTGAAACGGAATTATCTGATCACCCGCGACAATGTGGGAGAAGAAATCCCTGCACAGCTTGAGAAGGCCAGGCTGCAAAACAAGCAACGACGAAAGTATCAAGAGTTCGAAGTTCGAACTCAAAATCTGCTTCTTGCTGCTAGAGGACGCCTTTCTGTTGGCTGCGCTGCGACTCCCCCTACTCCAGGATGAAAACCCAACAGATACGACACGAAGTTTCCAATCATCCGCAACAGCTGCAAAAACTGCCTCACCCCTGGCTTTCTTGCGAGCTATTCCTTGGGCCACGTATGCTCCATGAGCTTTGCCTCGGGACCTAAACCAGCTGCGCACATCTGCAAGACCAGGATTGCCATCAGAGTCAGCAGCAACCAACTGGCACGACTCTGCAGAGCCGCCGTCCAAAGAGCCACTTGAAGAACCTTTGGCAAACTGGTCGCCAGAGGCACACACCTTGACCTTCTTGGCCTTGCTCAACGACAACAAACGAGAGAGCATGCTGGACCCTCGCAGACTAGCACAGTTATTCGCTATTCCGAATACCATATACAATGCGCAATGTATACAGTATACAGTATACAGCTTCACGATACCCTACCGGACCGTATCATATCATATTCATAGAATAAAGTTACCTAGTCAGGACACCAAAGCCCCTAGTGCCACCTGACTGCGTCTGCTTTGGGCCATAAGGTCAACTCCAGCAAGCACAACTGACCACACAAAGCGCATGTCAGCGGAAGCAGCACGTCGGCCTTGAAAGGTGCATCCGGAGATGTATGCCGGGACTTGCGAGTGCACCCCTGTACATTCTCCAGAATTGCTATCCTGCAAGGAATCAAAGTTCACGGTGAAATCCACGAATTCCCCAAGGCGGGCAAGGAGCTTGGGCTGATAGATCCGAACATATCGGGAGGCTTCGATGAACGGCAAGATTCGAGAGGCCTGAGATACACTCCCCACAACTACAACCCAAAACAACAAGCTGGTCTAGCATGTCATGGCCCTTCCCCATACAGCCAAATTTTGCATACCTAGAAACATTGCCCGCAAACGAAAACATCAACTCGATATCTGATGACGTGGCATCAAAACGTCCATGACGCTCCTGAGAGAACAGCTTGCACACGAATCCTGCAATGAATATATCGTCCGGCTTGTAATCCTGGCATATCTTGTGTGAGAAACTCATGACTCCGACTGAGACTCACCAAGTTGAACTCATGCCAGCATCGCAGGGCTGCCAGGAAGCGGGGGAGCAGCGCAGCAAGCCCCGTGGACCGCACACAAACCACCAGTCCTGGCATCGAGGCTTCACCACTCGGCACGCATTACAGGAAAGCAACCCAAAAGCATGCGATGTCCTGGCAGAGCTGACATTGTGGTAGCAATGATGCACTCGATGATTCTTGAGAAACCACTGTCGGGTGGGCTCCTCAGTATGGGCAAGCATACTTGCGAGCAAATGGCCACAATACTTACGAAAGATGCACCGCTAGTTTGAAGTCAATTATTTTGCAAGAGTCGTGCGATTCAGAAGCAATGCGCTCAGAGAACGTTCCCGCACCGAGCAAGGATCGTAGAGCAAAGGACGGTGCACCCGACCCGGAACAGGCAGTGGAGATCACCTGACAAGTTTGGCACATGGCTGGAAGGCGAGAGCACGGGCTAGCTTGATATTGCAAGCAACCATACGGACCACACGTGTCTACAAGCATGCTGATTCATGGAAGTGGCCAATTTATCCGTAAGCTTGCTCCTCCAGGACTCCAGATCGCCTCCTGCTGCCTGTAAGAACAGCTCCGGCCAACGAAACCGATCGTTGGCCTCTTCGGTTTCAAGAATCTCGTGGTCTGGAGAATCGAAACGTCCCGAGCTCACCCGGCTTCTGCTGCGAGATCTTGACGCAATCCTTATCGCTGCCGATCAACAATCCACCACAAATCGTCGCTGCTACAATCAAGCAGCTACAGAAATATCGACAAGGCTCCTGGCATCGGAAGTGGCATCATCGGCAGAACCAGCCGTTCCGCGGCGATACAAGTCGCAAAGAGGCATCAGCACAACGTGTGTCTACGACTCCGTATGTGTCATACAGATACAGATACATACATCTCATATATGATATATGTGTCACCTGTGTCACATGACTCTGACTCTCTGACTGTTTACCCGTGCTTTTGGGTACTGTTGAGCACTTTGACAGCACAGTTCAAAGTTTACACAACTGAGGCCCCAAAACAGACCTAATCAAGCCCCGCCTTGCGCACCAGAAATACTTGAATCCAGCCCTGCTTTATGCACCAAAAATGACCAAAAATGATCCAAAACCTGACTCCTACCCCTGCCTTATCCTACTTGTCCCCACCTCGAACCCCAGAAACCTTTGGATCTGGCCCCAGAATGCAAAAGTTGTCTTAAGCATTCCGCGGATTTTCCAAGTTATACTCTTGTCAGAGAGAGCGAGAGAGAGAGAGAGAGAGAGAGAGAGAGAGATAGAGATAGAGAGAGATAGATAGAAAGATAGATAGAAAGATAGATAGAAAGATAGATAGATAGATAGATAGATACATAGATAGATAGATACAGAGAGAGCGAGAGACAGAGAGAGAGAGAGAGAGCGAGAGAGAGAGGGAGAGAGAGAGAGCACGAGAGCACGAGAATGGTTCTAGGTTTGGGTTACGCTGGGTTTAGTGCCAGCCTGGAGGCCTAACCCCTCAGCCCTCCAACCCCACTAAACCGTTTCTTCGTCATTGTCGAGATTCATTGATCCATTGATGGTTAAGCTTCCGTGGAGGATGTTGTAGACATCTACATTGTTTACATATGTACAATGTACAGACATGCATACCTACATACCTACATACCTACATACATACATACATACATACATACATACATACATGCATACATGCATGCATGCATGCATGCATGCATGCATGCATGCATACGTATATACATACATGCATACATACATACATGTGATTAGATAATACATGTTCACGCAACCCTGTAGTTTAGCATTCTGGTTGACCTAGGGGCTGCGTTTGTTCTTAGCGATTGTCACCATCTTCTCACTCAGGTCGAACAGCTCAGCTGCGATGACCCGGAGGTTTGTTCTCTGACGCGAGATTTGGGAGTTTTCTAGGGTTTAGGGTTTAGGGCTTACGAGTTTCAGGCTGCCGGGGCGTTTCTAGAGCGAACTTCGACTTGCCTGCCAGGGTTTGGGGTTCAGGGTTTAGGGTTTAGGGTTCAGGGTTTAGGGTTTAAACTCTAAAAACCAAGACCCTTAACTTTCTAAACCCCTCCATGGAGTCCTCCGGGCGTTCCTGCTGATCCTCCTCCTGCTGCTCCCTGTGCTCCAGAGCCTGCAGTTAACGGTCTCTACCACAGCTCCACACCACCAAAAAGAAGGCCATAATGAGTAAAACTTCAGGGCATGTTTTTAGCAGAATGATTATATAGGAGTTATGCAGCCATACTAGTACTGCGTGCTCAATCTTTTTTGCTACGCCCTAGACCTTGAACCCTGAAACCTTTATCATAGTATTACAGAGCCTTTTTATGTCCCTAATGGACCCTTTAAGTACCCTTGCAGCGCAGGGGTATTTCGGAACGACGAATCTTTGAGCCCCGACAGATCGCTCCCAAGCGGCCTGCATGGTGTCGCTGATGGCTCTGCTGTAGTGGCGCACCGCCTGCCACATGGGGGGGGACCTTAAAGCAGCCCTTAAAGGAACCCTGGAAAGAACCCTTTTTACTGGAGGGCTCTTAAACACTAGGTGTACCTTAGGGTTGAAATTTACGGTGTAGGGAAGGATCCTATCAGGTTGTATGGCACGGTCCCCTACTTTCTGAAACCCTAAAACCTGCACCCCAAGGCCTGAACCTTGACCGTGAAACCTAAACCCTCGGGTTTAGGGCTCAGTGTTTTCGAGGCAAAAACACGCGACATCAGGCCCCGAAGCCAAAATAAATGAACCAGAAGCCCCTTTTAAACTTTGAAGAAGGACAAGGAGGGGTAATTTAGGGCCCCTTGTGAAAAACTGGGCCCCAAGATAGTACTGCACCCTTATAAAAGGGACTCTCACTTAGAGACCTAGCCATGACGAAGTGTTCAGTGCAGTGCAGTCAGAGAGCATAAACCCGGAAACCGCAAATGACCCATCATCCCCTCAACCCCGCGAGACAAACCCGATGAAACCCGCGATGCCTAAAATTGAAAACTCAATCCCCAAACGTTGAATTCCATGAAATCCAGAGCCCGGAAAGACCTTAAACCAGCTGGAAAGAAAAACAAAAATAGAAAAAACAATTACAAACCTTGAAACTCTGAACCCATTACCCCAAAGCCCTCAACCGAGCTTGGGTCCATTGCAGTACAAGTAGCTGGACGACAAGGGGACATGACACTGTTGCTCCAACCGCACCTTAAATCCTAAACTTGAAAGTTCACCAACATAAACCCTAAACTCTAAACCCTAAACCCTAAATCCTAAACCCTAAACTCTAAATCCTAAACCCTAATCCCAAACCCTAAATCCTAAACCCTGAACTCACTCTCACTCACTCGCACTGCAGAAGTCC